TTTGCTATCATCCTACAAGCAAGCTAAACCCTGCTTTTTGGAAGCTGTGATAGGGCAGCCTTGAGGGCTCATCAGCAAACTCATTTCGGGGCTGGAGCCTGTGGTGGCAGTAGGGTGGGTATGAAGGTTTTGTTTAAGATGTGTTAAAATATTCTGTATTTTGGTTCTACAGGCAAAGCTCCCCCCAACCTGCCCCAAGGTGTACCACCCTTGTTGCATAACCAGTATATTGTGGGACCTGGAGGACTCCTGCCCGCCTACCCAGTAAGCAATTTCATTGTACCTGCCCTTCATTACTTTACCCCCTTGGTGCAAGTGGGCCCCTCCAGACCGGCTGCTGTGTCTATGCCAAGATGTTCTGTGTTGACACATGGTGCCTCTGGAATCCAGGACTCCTTGTTCCAGGTGCGGAAAGGGTATGTGAAATTATATTCTGAACTGGTTTCTAGAGCTTTGCTAAATTTGAAATGGAGCATATAAAAACCCTTGGTAATTGGCTGGATTCTCCCTGCTGAAATCCAACAGGAGTTTTACCAGAAACTTCAGCAGAATCAGGGTTAGACCCTTTTGATCAAAATAAGATCATTTGGATAAAGTGTCTGACTTAGAGCTAGATAATGTAGCAGTGCTTGGCACTGGCTGTGGATTCGGTCGTTCATATCTTAAAAGACTGTGCCTGGCTTGGTGTTGTCTGACTGTCACAGTTCAGTAGCCTTCCTTTTTATTCTCTGAGGCTGGAAACTCTATCCAAATGCCAGGTTTTTTTCTTTCTGTACCTCCCTGCATATGACGAGGGGATGGTCGTTCTTTAGCCTAATTTACAAGTGAACAGATAGTAGCTTGCGGATTCTCAGGGTCTTTTTTGCTGAGGCTTGGAGTGCCGTACCCTGGGGAGTAGTAACTGTAAATGATGCCATTTCAAGAGGCGGTGATTTACTCCAGTCACTGAATGCTGTATGATTTGGACAATTGCCAGTAAGCTGTACCTGGGAGACTGGTACTGAAGAGTGTTTTAGTCGAGTGCAAACTTCAAAACACTGGTGTAACTGGAAAATTAGGTTCTAGGCATGACATGCCAACCAGACCTTAACTGTACTGGCCGTTGGCATTGCTACTATACATCTGCTATAATCTTTGGCCTTTGTAGGTTAACTCGGACCTGAATTAACTTTAAATTAAAAACCACAAATTAGCCAATACTAGAGAAGAGTGTTATAATGTTGTTGGTTTTTTTATTTGTCTTTAAGCAGATTTATGGTTATGATGATCTCCAGATGCTACAATCCAGGCTGCCAATGGTAAGCAAATAAGCTAAATGGCTTAAGTTAAACGAGTTAACATCTCTAAATCGTTCTAACCAACACAAACCATTTCAGCTCATAAACATTTTTAGCACTTTTCCCTGAGGATGTCTTGCTTGCAATAAGCTGCTGCTGTGTTTTAGTTGTTCCGGTATCTTCAAACTGCGTATACATAGAAGCTGTTAGATTTGTAAGATAGGAATACTACAAGCTTTCCATATTGCAAATTCGGTCACCTGAAATTAAAAGGGCATTTCCCATTGGTGACCAGGGAAATCTTTCCTGATGGGTGCTGGCAGTGATATGAAATTTGAGAATCTGTTTGAAGTCTCTGAGAAACGAGACTTGGGGTCATGCATTCACCAAGCAACCAACCACAATAAATCAACAGGAAATGGAGCTTGGGGAGAGCGTGAGAGGTTTTCCATCGAGGGTGCAAATCTAAGTTCAGTACTTTGGTAGCCAATGATGGGTCATTGTTAATGACTTAGGAAATAAAGCATCATAGTCTTTGCCTGAAGCCACAAGAGACTTCATGTGTATGAAGTGCAAGTTGTTGGTTGTACTGAGAGATTGGATTGGAAGAGCAAATATAGACACTATGGGGAACCTATGGGAAGCTGAGGAATTCTGGTGTAACCAGATTTGAAAAGCAGCCCCCACCCTGAGTTCAAGAAAGAGAGGATATTGGCCACCAGTGAACTGGATGAAATCAAAGAGAAGTCTTGGCAGTCAGTGATAGTAAGAGTGTAAGGCAGCAGTCTGTACTACTGGCAGCAGATGAAAGCCTACAGGAGGTCACCCTTAGAGGAGGTTGAAGAGGAATTCAACATGACTAAAAGTTTTTTTTTCCTAGTCTTTGCAAGGTCTTCCACATGGAAATTGTGGAAGATATCCCTGTAGATCCAGTTACTCCCATGGAACAGAAATGTACAGGACACATCTGTGAATGGTTGTTCAGCCCAGATGGCAAGAAAATCAAGCACATGCACAAAGATCCCCAATCATTCAAGGAAGTAGTGTGATCCTCTTTGTGAATCCTCCAAGAAGAATGGAGAAGATGTTCTGGGAGAAGCAGGTGGCCAACTGGACGTTTTACTGTCTTCCTGGAGCCAAAGCATGAGAGACAAATCTTGACTGGATAAGGGTATGATGATGTGCAGGCAACCCTCTGGGATTAGTAATTTCAGCAGTAATGATATTGCATCATAGATTGTAGATAACTTCTGTGAAGAAGAAGAATGTCCAGGAGATCTTCTGCTACATCCTTCGCACCCCATTGGGTGAGGGAAAGCAGAAGATGAAAGTGAACTGCTAGTGAAGTGGTGTATGGCTAGAGGGTATTTTGGTTTTGTTGACCATCTGTCCAACTTCTTTAGAAAGATGTGTTGCACTGGTTGGCTTGTCTCAACTCTTGGAGGTATTGGAATTTGTTCATTTATGAGCATAAATGCCATCATTCTTGCTATTATGTGGTGGTAAGATGTGCATGGTGAGAGTGTTAAAATCATTGATTGATTATAATCTTTCAGCACTAGTGAAGAAGAATCGGCAAAAGGGATAAGAGAGCATTACTGCAAAACCTGTCTTTGCCTGTTTCTGTATCTGAAGCTATGTCAACACTGATAGTTAGGGTCAGCTTTTAAGGTGCACAGGAAGCTCATTTGCTTACTGATTGTACTGTAAATCAGTTAGCTGAACTCCTGGCAATGCTCAAGTCTGACCTTGACAGTGCTGCTGAAGTTCAGCGTACGACATCCATCTAGCTGTACCCTTTCTTCCTCTGGAATGTACGTGAGTGAGCAGGTCTCAAGCTGAGGCATTTTATGACCCATAGTCTTGTAATTCCCTGTTCTGGATTTCTGGTGCTTTTGCATTGCATTCCTAAAGGAGAGACAAGGGGTTTACAGACTTTAATTTAGAAGCAAGCAGAACTCTTGGTACAGGTGAGATCTTTTTTATTAGATCAGCTAGATAGTTGCAAAAAAATTCTGTCATCTCTACCAAGAGTTCAGACTGCTTTTGCCTGTAGACCAAGACGGTTACAACCTGTATCTCTTAAATTCAGAGGGTGCTCCATCACAACAGCACTTAGTTGGGTAGCTTTGGTGTGGACTGTGAGGTATGAGAGAGGCTGAGAGAGCTGGTTGATGGGTCAGGCTGGTTGAAGGTGACATCAGGTTTGACCTTTAATAGCAGTGAAGACGCCTTGAGATCAGAATCCAATGATTTAGGATGCTTATGGATCCAGTATTCTAATGATAAAGCACAAGAACCTAGCATGAGAATTGGATGGGACCTTCTTGGTCATGGAGTCGGTTTCCCTGCTGTCACAAGCCTCATGTTATAATCTTCTGTTAATGAATTTGTTGAGCCCTGTCTTGCAAGTAGTTCATTTTTGCTGCCTCTACCACTCTGATTAGCGAGGCTCCAGAACCTGGCTACTTCAATGACTGGGAACTTTGCAGGGTATTAGTTGGAGGTTGCTATATAATGACCAGGTTTCTTTACCCACTGTTATCCAGATCAGAGCTAACCTTGTGGGTGAGAAAAGGCAGGAGATGGGGATAGAAAGAGAGAATGGTATTGTCAGG